GCCACCCACCACCCGCCACGCCCTGGCTCCACTCCCACTTCCCACCTCCCACCTCCGCCGCCTTGGCTCCATTCCTGTCTCCGCTGCCTCTACTTTGCTCCCTTCTGCAGCACTTGGCTTCCTTCTATGTTGTCTTCAGTCTTTGCTTCATTCCTGTGTATGCAAATTAACAGCCATCTTTGGTGGGTTAATTTGCATACTCATCTAAATGGCTGGTTGAGCAGAGTGGGTGATGGTTAATTTGCATGTTTCTCTTTTATTAGTGTAGTTGCTATGACTGATGGGAAAGGCAAGAAAAAATACATATTCATGGATATACAGAAAAAATGATACAGTGCAATTCTTTTTATAAAAAAAGCGTTTTGTAACCAAACTGTATTGTTTTTCTACTTGGTCTTATTTTCTTGTAAATTCAAATGTGCTGAAGCACTCTTGTGGTTTCTTGTCAATACACTCACTGAGTGACCCTAAATGATCTCCACTAACACCCTCAATTTCCTTCTCTGTCAAAGCAGGTAGGCAGCCAGCAGGTGATGACTGGGTGACTCCATGACCCTAAAAACAGAATGACAAATCTAGTTTCCTGAGAATGGGCGAGCTGACAGAAAGGAATCATTCACATCTGCCCACTGGAAACAAACAGAAAGTCTCAATTCATATCCCCAAAATGTCCAGCTGCTAATGATTTAACAGCATCTGACCTGAATGAGAAAGACATATCTCATCAAATATTGTTTGTTTTGTTTTAAAATATATTTTTATTATTTTAGAGAGGAAGAAAGAGGCAGAAAAAATATCAATGATGAGAGAGAATCATTGATCAACTGCTTCCTGCGTGCCCCACATGGGATCAAGCCTGCAACCTGGGCATGTGCCCTGAGTGGGAATCGAACCATGACCTCTTGGGTCATAGATTGATAGTCACCAATGAGCAACACCAGCTGGGCTCCCACCAAATATTTTTGAAAAATATTAGAGCAGAAATCTTTATTGCCTCTTTATCTAGTTCCTTTTTTGATAATCCAATTTATACCAGCCCAGAGTTCTCTTATTTTCCCTGCCCTTGGATATTGAAGCTGGCTAAGTAGCAATAAATAGGGACAAGAGAGTTTCTTTGCAAAATAGCTTCACAAGTATAGCAATCAAAAGATCTATGTGAAAACTAGTGTTTTCCTTGCCTTTTTGAGATCTCAAGCAGCCACAAACTTTAGTTTGCTGCCTTCCTTTCCTAGCAGTTCAAAAGAACAAGACCCTCTCTGAATTATTACATTTATGTGGTCTTCTCTTAGAGTAGCTGTAACTTCAGAGGATTATCATGGTGAGTACAGATACCAACTGGAACATATATTTTGGGAAACTCTCTATATTCAGAGTTTCTAGTAAACTTTAAGTGACCCCATGCATTGCCAAATTATAAGAGATGCCAATGTAGCTGAAGTAGAGAAAAAAGAAGGCAGAATGAGAAGGCCACAGAAATCGTTATATCAAGTCAACTATGAAACTGTGCCCCCACTCCCTACTGACTTCACCTTCACATTCTGTACTGGCACAGTTGACAAAATAGGGAAAATTTAGGAAGTAAGCTCCTATGTGTGTATACGTGTTTGTGTGTGTGGTGTAGTGTGTGTGTGTTGTGTGTGTGTGTGTGAGAGAGAGAGAGAGAGAGGGAGAGAGAGAGAGAGAGACATGTGTTTTGATGTGTTTGCAAGCAGAGAATGATTTAACATATTGAACCATATGGTTGTGTTTTTACTCAAGATATGTCTTAATAATTACCAAGTTGGAATCGATTTGATTAAATGGACTATGGTTGTCAATTATCTGCCACAGATACCAAAAACTCGATTTCTCAGGATTATGGCTAACTGGGCCATGCAACTTATCATAAAGGGAGCAGCAGTCACCTGTTTTTTTTTTTTTTTTTTTCTCTCCCTGAAAGCTCAGAAATGACACAAGGTGATACTGAAAAGAGAAATGCAGACATACTTAAGCTGGAGCCAGGAAAGAGAAAGTCATTCTGTTCTAATTAATTCTTCCTCACCCCATCAGGAATGAGAACTGTATTTTCTCAGCCTTTATGTCAAACCAAGGTGTGAGAAGGTAACACAAGAGTAGTCACAGCCTCTGGAGAAGAAAGCCAAGTTGAGAGCATTACAGGCCAATATTGTATCCCAGGAAACACACCCAGCCTGCATTTAAGAGCCCATAGGAGACTGGTGTTTGAAATTCAATCTGTTGAGTCAGAAACATTTCCTGTCATATTGTGTCCACCATCCAATTTGTCACAAGTATGGCGTAAGTCGGTGGAAAATGCCTCAAACTCACTGCTACCTACGAAGTGTCATGGCAGAGTAAGTGAGTATCTATATACAGTGTTCCCTTCTAGGGGATACCACAAGAAGACTTATTTGTTCAAAAATATCCTTCTATCCCTCTCCAAGTCTCTCAGCTCCAGCATGCATTTATGCTTGTCATTAACACTATCCCAAGTAATATTTAACACTCTTCAGAGTCATGCGTATTTTAACAGGGTTAAAACATTCTGGCTCTAGCTGGTTTGGTTCAGTGGATAGAACATCGGCTTGCGGACTAAAGGGTCCCAAGTTTGATTCAGGTCAAGGGCACATGCCTGGGTTGCAGGCTTGACCCCCCAGGAGGGGGTGCTCAGGAGGCAGTCAATCAATGATTCTCTCTCATCAGTGATGTTTTTATCTCTCTCTCTCCTTCTCCCTTCCTCTCTGAAAGCAATAAAAATATGTTTTAAAAAAAGAAAAGGGAAAAGATTGGGTTATTGAACAAATGGCTTTTAGGTACTTATAAAAGCAGCTAATATAATTGGCTAAAAAAATCATGTTCATTTCTTTTTTTCAATAGTGTTACTTACCTGGCAGATTTGCTGAATGCTACAATTAGAGTTATGTAGATTACATAAGGAGATATTTTAACTTTGGCAACTATGCAGATTCAGTTAAGCAGATACTTGTGAAGTCAGGTGACCATTGTCACAGAATGTACCCCAATGAATAAATCAGTGGCAACCTGTTTCTGTCATAGTTCCTACACACCCTATCAATAACTTGGTGGTAATCACAGAAAGTTCACTGATTTACCACATTTATGAATCAAATAAATGAAACAGATAATTAATATAACAGAATCATGTTTCAAAGACATCTCAGTAGACTAACATGATGGATCAAGTGATATAATTTAATAAAGAATAGTTCTTCCCTTAGAAAGAAATAATCCTTCCTCAATGGGAGGATAATTTAATAGGCTCTCTGATATATGACCTGGCTAAGCCAACCCAGAATAAGAATTTAGATGTGGGCCTTATATTGTCAGAGGAACACTGACAACCAGAAGGAGATAAAAAAAAAATGGGGCTAAGTAATTCTAAAACTACGACATATGAAGGATATATGAAAACCTGACAATGTCTAGGTGGCAAAAGAAAACAAAGAAATGGAAGCAGAAGTTGAATAAAGATGATAGCTCCCTCTCTGAAAAGTTAACATGTGGAAAAAGACATAAACTTATCCTTTGCAGCCACTGGAGGAGAATTAGGAGCAACGAGAAGCAAAAATGAGGTACATTTCAGTTCAATATAAGGAGGTCCATGGACAGAACACAATGGGTTGGATTATATAATATTGAACTTCTTTGCTCTAAAAATATTTAAGCAAGCTAAATGCCTACCTGCCAAAGACATACTAGTGTACATTTCTATACTCGGTGGAAGCTGGAAGATTGGACCAGAGGACCTCTAAGTTCCCTTCCAACTCCAAGATTCTATAACCCACTGATCTTATTTTTTGAAAATATTCACAACAAAATTTATTTAAAAAACATCTTCCCTTGGGGCTTAGGTATCTGTTTATTGTGAGATAGCTAGCATTATCTTCCAATTAAAGAGTTAACAGATATTTAAGTCAAGTACCTCTAGAATAATGATGATAATTGGTAGTTGGTAAGCAAAATAGAGTATGATCTATAGATATTTGATTTAAAGATTTTAGAAATAGCCGAAACCAGTTTGGCTCAGTGGATAGGGCATCGGCCTGCGGACTGAAAGGTCCCAGGTTCGATTCCGGTCAAGGGCATGTACCTGGGTTGCGGGCACATCCCCAGTGGGAGATGTGCAGGAGGCAGCTGATCGATGTTTCTCTCTCATCGATGTTTCTAAGTCTCTATCTCTCTCCCTTCCTCTCTGTGAAAAATCAATAAAATATATAAAAAAAAAAGATTTTAGAAATATATGAATAGTACTCATGTGAAAAAACACACAACTCACTTTTGATTATTACAGAATGGAAATATGGGCAGGGATAGCTGTGTTTATTATTTAATTCCTCTCCATTCAGAGAGTTAGCAAGAATATACAGAAGACATGTCCCACAAAAGACACTTTGCTATGCACTGGGTTTTATTTAGATGCTGCCTATTTCCTTAAGGAGAACACAGTCCAATGGTAGTGGTGGACATAAGCATTAGGAAGGTGTCTTGCTTGAAGACTGGAGGCACTCCCTCAGCTTCTAGCTTTATTTTGTTGTTGTTGTTAATCTTCACCCAATGATATATTTCCATTGATTTTTAGAGAAAGTGGAAGGGAGGGGGAGAGACACAGAGAGAGAGAAACTTTGATGTGAGAGCACATTGATTGGTTGCCTCCCACATGTGTCTCGACCAGGGCAAGGGATCCAACCTGCAATCAAGGTATGTTCCCTTGACCAGAATTGAACCCTGGATCCTTCAGTCTATGAGCCGACGCTCTATCCACTGAGCCAAACCAGGTAGGCAAAACTGTAGCTTTAGACCTGAATAGAGACAGCACTTTAAACATATTAATGGCCTCCAGACAGGAGCACTATTGCCTCAATGCCTATCAGTACCATTACAGAAATCAACTTTTAGCTCCTGAATACTTCAACATGAATCTTTTTTTAGCTTCTGAGACTCTGACAACTCATTATGACCTCAGTTACAATCAGACATGATAGAGACACGTAATGGAAGTTTTGATGGGAAAGGTATGCATTTCACATTATGGAAGAAGGTAAAATCATTCGGGTGCTGACTGAAGAATAAGGACCTAAACCAGTGTTTAACTCATGTCCCATTACATGATTGGTATTCAAAATATATATGATATATGAAGAAATGAGTGAATGAATGGGCAGATGGAGGGGTGCAAGCCTGTTTCTAAAATAATGTCTACATGTAATGATACCCCATTTGTCAGAAATCCAATAAGAATTTAAATAATAAATATATAAATAAATTTAAAATGTTTAATTTCAGGATTGATTCATAGTGTGATCTTAGCAAATTTGACCAATAAATACTTTCCTGATTTTTTTCATTTCCATTATCTTCAGTTAGAATACATTTCCAAAGCTCTTTCTCTATCCTGAATGCAAGGTGTCTTGCTAGTTTCACCTCATGAAAACTACCAGGCAGAAAGGATCAGAATAGCAGATTAAGAATAGCATTTAATGCATTTTGCTTTCCATGTAGATTCCTGGTGTCTATCAAGTAAGTTTTTGTCATCATGTGTTTATGTTCTAAGGGTGATTATGTCTAATTTTTTATTGAGTGTTAACACATGTAATTACATAATTACAATGTGCGGTTATGCAATTATGATGTATGATTAAGTTAATATCACCAGGTTGGTGTATTTTCAGAGGACTGTTGGAAGGAGATATGATTTAATCTCTAGTAGCTCTCAATACACATATTCAAGATTCATGTGTGCACTCACATGCAAGCACATATGTGTATGTGTGTGTGCATGTGCATGTGCACATGTGTATATGTCTTAATTTTGGGTGGGAGTTGCAGAGGATAGTAGAGATCAGTATCGTTGGTTCAGATTGGAGAACAGAATAAGGCAAACAGATGTGACCATTACTAAGGGATTTTCCACTCTTGTTTCAAACCAACATTTTTTTGGAGTATTTTAAACATGCAATGGCTAGCCTCAAGCTAAGTTTAATATATGTGAAAAAAAAAATCCAAGGCATGTTATATGGGTGATTCATAAAATAATTAAACAGGTTCTAAAATGAATTACTCAGTAACTATGGTATATATACTGAGTGGCCAGATTATTATAACCACTTGATGTTTGTAGGCAAATTAGCTATAATTTTGTGCTGAAGTTGCTAGAGGGCCAGATCATTATAAACATCTGAATAACACAACATACCTAGGTACTGTTGCTGATCAAGTTCATCCTATCATGTTGATGGCGTATCCCAAAGGAGATGGCTTCTTCCAACAAGACAGTGTGCCATGCCATGGTGCTCGTATTATGCAGGAGTGGTTTCAAGAACATGAGGGAGACTTTACCTTGCTTAGGTGGCCCCTCATAATAATGTGGTCACTCATTGTATATATAAGCATATAGCCAGATTAATTTATAAAGGATCTATCACAATTATTTTTATAATCTTACAAATGCTCAATATCTATTTCTTATGCCACAGGCACAGGTTTAGTCCTATAGCAGTGATGGCGAACCTTTTGAGCTCCGCGTGTCAGCATTTTGAA